TTTTTTTTTTTTTCTCCCTCTTCGCTTGAATTTGGTTTTTGGTTCTGATCACTACTTGAGCATAATACTAATAATGACTACCAGAATTCAAATATAACTCCACTAAAATATCCAACTTCGCTACGAAGGCACTGCAATAGTCTCTTTTTTTTTTCTTTCTTTCTCCCTCTATCTCTCTCTCTCTTCATCATCACAAATACAGAGAGAGATAGTAAAAGCAAAAAAAAAGAATATCATAAACAAATAAACCCATAAACATATATATATATATATATATATATATATGTTTTTTCCTTCCTTTTTTTTTCTTCTTTACACCTCCACAAAGAGGACTTCCATTGCCAGTAAAACACAGGCGAAAATACCATACTTCATGATCTGATGTAATTGTTGATCCTGCACATAATCCTTCCCTGTAATCTCTATTGTATAAACAACATGCTTTGTACCAATCACCACCACATTGTATGCTAATAACAAGAGGAATGCCGTTCCAAGTGGAGAGTACAAGAGTGTACTGAGGGAAAGACAACCCTGCAATTGGAGAGAATGGGCAGTGAGATTGGTTGCCAATTGTGTGATGGGCCGTTTATTACACTGCAGTGCGGTGACGGACATGCAAGTATTATTCCTAATGTTTACACTACGAGAGATTGGCGATAACAACATGGAAGACGTGCGGCCTGCACTTCGTCCCAATAGAACACGACGAGAAAACATTGCGTACTTCTTTTTTTTTTTTTTTGTTTAATTTATATATATATATTTTTTTTCTTTTCTACAGCTGTCGTGATATTCCCCCTGCGACTGGGGGAAAAGAAAAGAAAAGAAGAAGAAAGAAAGAAAAAAACAGGAAAGAAAAAAATTGTGAGAAAAGGAAATGAACAATCAAAAAAATATCATAAACTTTACACACACCCCTCCTCACCTCTATCCTTTTGAGGAGGTTGTGTACACCAATATACCTCTATATCTATCTCTATTTATATCTATACAGATATAAATAGATAAATAGAAAGATAGATAGAGTAATTGGGAGGTACGCAGGAATACGTGAGTAAATCTGAATGATAAAAAGAATAGAAGGTAAAGAGAGTGTGCGTGTGTGTGTTTTTTTTTTTTTTTTTT